TCTTATATATTATTACTAATACCCAAATCTAGGTGAGTCTTGGCCACTCTTGTAGGTTTAGATCACAGATTATATGTCTGAGTCTTTAATCTTCATATGTAATTTAAAAGCAAGCTTTTTTCTTTATAAAATCTCAATTGAATTTCAATAAAGTTGAAGGCATGGCCTTATCATTAATATTTAAAAAAAAAAAAACTATTAGGGCAATAGAAGCACTTATTGAAACACTGTTAAAAGTTAATCTATCCTTTTAATAACTAACAAATTAAAATATTATAGTAATTACTACACTTCAGCTATTGTCTCCACTTTGCTCAATAATACTAAACCCATAAGAAAATAATACTTTTATTGAAACACCCTTATCATAACTATTAGAACAGTTTACTTTTTTGTGAGCTAGACTACAACATTGCATATATATTAAATTAATACAGTAATAAAGCATAATAATTGTTATATATACCTGATTTCTGTTGTAATTATGACATATTATTTATTTTCTTTATCTATTGTACTAGCAAATAGATATTTTTTTTGATAATAACTTAGGTTTTTACATAATAAGCATTTGCATTTCTGTTTTAAGACTGCTTCTTTACTATTATCTTGAATAACATTCATAATTTTATTCATTGTCTTTTTTCTTTTTAATATTTCCACAAAACCTTTAATTCTTTTTTTACAAGGAGCATCATAAATTTTGATAACTTTTGGACTAGTTAATTGATTAATTAAATGTTGTTGCAATGGAATTATTTTACTAGTATTTTGTATAAAATTATCATCTTTTGTACTAATACTGTTGTTAGTTTCTTTTATTATGTCTTCATGCTTCATTTGATTAGTTGCAATAAAATCTTTCAATATTTGAACCAATTTAGCATCTTTATTAATTGCCAAAGTGATATTAATAGCAGTTTTGGCTGCTGAAAAAGCAATTCCATATCAATTTTTTTAAGGAATATGTTTATGATCAATTTTATTATATAGATAATCATTAGGTTTGTTGAAATTGTATAAGCTTTAAAAATTAAAAGTTACTTGAAAAGAACAATCAGTAGGTAATTTTATTGCAGTAAGTATAGGTGAATCTTTAATGTTAAAATCTAGTTGGTCTTAATATTATTATTATTTTTTTTTTTGTTTTAAATATTAAGGTGAGTACTTGTGATCCATGATTTTATTGATAGTACATTCAGCTAATGGTTGCATTACAACCACAAGGGGCAACCATGGAAAGAGTGTACAACTAGCCACTCGTACAACTTTAGTCA